TAATACCCCCTCCCCCCATTTAATTTTAACATGAGCGCCCACATCTGTCTTTTCTAAGAACCTCCTACTATTTCTGACAATCCCACTTCGGCACATTTTTAAACAATGCTTCAGGTGAGCTGTGCTCTGTATGGTGGGATTTCTGCTGCAGATTAAGCTCCAGGGAGGGGCTTGCGTAAATAGGCGGAGCTTTGTACCAGTGATAGTTCAGGCAGCTCATGTGGAGATTCAAGGATTTTTAATGAATGATTCAAAGCAACCGGGAAAAGCAAAATTTGATGAGGGAAAACCATTAAAACATGAGCTCAAATAAGTTGATTTTGCTTAATATCCCCCTTTAAGTTTACCAAAGTAATTTTATGGTAGCCTAAGATATTTGATGTTTTACTCAAGTATTATTTTGAGGTACTAGTTCTTATTATAAGTCTAATAAAATGTTTTGTTTTGAAGTTGAGTCTTACAGAGAGTCCCTGAAAGCCTCATGACGTGTTTATTTTCTCTCTCGGAGCTTTCTGAAGTTACGTCTCTCTGTTGGCCGTCCTCCTCCTCCCACACAGCCCAGTATAAACATTTCTGTCGCGGGAAGACACTCCCCAACTAGCCGCCCTGAGGTCAGCCGCAGGGACCCGTCCAGGAGCGGGAGGAGGAGGGCAGAGATGGCGCAACACACCGGCCAAACTTTTCCGGACATCGTGGAGCTCAACGTGGGCGGTCAGGTGTACGTGACCCGCCTGGAGACCCTGACCGCGGCGCCCAAATCCCTCCTGTGGGCGAAGTTCACCCAGAGCTCCCCGGCGGAGCTGCCCAAAGACAGCAAGGGCCGCTTCTTCTTCGACCGGGACGGCTTTCTGTTCCGCTACATCCTGGACTACCTGCGGGACTCGGAGCTCTCCCTGCCGGAGTTCTTCAAGGAGCGGAAGAGGCTCCAGAAGGAGGCGGACTTCTTCCAGCTCCCGGAGCTGTCGAGGCTCCTGGCGGCCGTCAGCAAGGACAGCCCCTCCACGGAGGACAGCGGGGAGCCGGAGGAGACCGAGCCCAGCAGCCCGGTCACCTCCTCCTCCTCCTCGGACAGAGCCCCGCGCTCCCCCGGGGCCGCCTCCGGCTACATCACCGTGGGCTACAGGGGCAGCTACACCATCGGCAGAGACATCCAGGCGGACGCCAAGTTCCGCAGGGTGGCCCGGATCACSGTCTGCGGGAAGATCTCCCTGGCGAAGGAGGTCTTCGGGGAAACTTTGAACGAGAGCCGAGACCCGGACCGGCCGCCGGACAAATACACGTCCAGGTACTACCTGAAGTATAACTTTCTGGAGCAGGCGTTCGACCGCCTGTCGGAGGCCGGTTTCCACATGGTGGCTTGTAACTCCACCGGGACCTGCTCGTACGGAAGTAACGACCCGGGGGAGGACAAACTGTGGACCAGCTACACCGAGTACGTGTTCAGCCGGTGAGCAGGCTGCAGAGGGCGGGTCCTCCTCCTGACCTGCACCGGCCCACACCTGGACAGACAATCATCTACAGACCTGATTATAATTCCTTCACATTCAGCTTCTTTTGTCTTTTAACCGTCAGCTTTGTGAGCTGAACCAGAGTTCAGATGTTCTGCCAACATAAATCTCATAGCAGCAAAAACAACATGGACTTTTCAGAGTTATTTTTCCGGCCCATCAGGCCTCATAACCTTTATGGCTTTCAGAGGCTGTTTTGTTCTTTAAGTTCATGGTGAGAAGTGTTCCCCGGGGCGGCAGAAAGGTTAGGAGGAGTAGATGTGTGATTCCTGCTTATTGTGGAGAGTGGCGGATCTGCACAGTCCAGTCTCTTTCTATAATGCTTCAGTCTTTCAGGTTGTGAATGTTTTCTTCTTATTATTATTATTTTTATTATATCAACACTTTTCCTTCCAGATAACACAGTGAAATGTGCATTCTGTTGCTCTGAGCTGCTGTACATGTTCTCTTCTTTGATATGCGGCAAATAAAGTGTGACTTTGTAACACCATCCCTCTAACCATCCTAGTCTTCTTTGTAAAACATGAATTTATTTTTGTCTCAGCTAGACATTGTTTATTATCATGCAAATATCTGGTTTTTATCTTTTTAGCAGAGTTGTAAAGTATATAAAATAATACTTGGTTACTGTATTTAAGTAGAATTTTTGTGTATCTGTACTTTATGTGAGTAATTATTTTTCAGCCTACTTTTTACTTCAACTTCTTACATTTTCACACAATTATCTGTACTTTCTACTCCTCACATTTTTTAAAAAGGCAAGAAGTAGAAGGTCGTTACTTTTATTTCGTTTTTGCTTGTTTTTATTCCAGCTTGTAAAAAATAAATACTCTCCATATAAACTGTGCCTCCTCTATCTATCTATCTATCTATCTATCTATCTATCTATCTATCTATCTATCTATCTATCTATCTATCTATCT